TATAGAAATTTAGAACTATAGATAAGGATGAAGTAATTGTAGCCACTGAAAAGTGATAATATCTGAATGATATAGCATCTGTTCTTGTTCTAAAAACTAGAAAGATATTTGCACTTCCAAGGAGTAAATAAAGAAGAATCTTAAAACAATGTTAGCATGTGATATAGAAAACATTAAAAAATTAATATTAAAGAAAAATAATATGATTTAGTATATATTTCTATGATTAAAAGCTAAAATAGTGTCATCTCCATTGTTCGCGAAATAAACAAATGAAAAGTGAAATTTGGACTAACAAAATAAAGAGGATAAATGAAGACAAAATTTCCATATCAGTAATGTAACTAAGGAGATAGAATTTATTCACTTAACTTCCAAAGCATATTCACAGAGCTAAGACCTCACATATCACTACAAAATTTATTTTTATTTTTTATATTCAGAAAAACAGTTTACATTGCAAGATAAGGTTGTAGAGTAAAAAGTGATTTAACAAAATATAATAAAATTATAAAAGTGTGTTTACATGTATTTCTAGATACTTGAAAATTTTTCTACATCTAAATCTATTTTTTTAGAATTTGAAGTAGAGTCTTTCACTATTTGATAGTTTGATGTTTTCTAATCTTTTATCCCTTGCTCTGAAGCTTGATTTTCTGATTATTGCATTATTTTTAAACTTTTTTTCACTTGTCAACAATAAGTATGAATATATGTGAATGTACACAGAGTTTAAATAATAAATATGGCACACAATATAGCCAGATTCCACTTTCTATACTAAAAGTTTACTAGAGTCAATTTAACCATTAGAGAAAATGACAAAAATAAAGTTTTGCTTCTGGTTTCTTTTTTTGAGTTTTAGAACCAGTAAAAATTGAATTGAAGAAGTTACTCAATTAAACTGGTTGTATAAAGCAACTTGGTGTTTTTATTAATTAATAAATTTTTAATATCCAAAAGTTAATAGGGTCCATGGTCCAGATAAACTGATACTTTTTTTTTAAGATAGGCTTTTTTAAATATTTTATTTTATTTTTTATTTTTTTAGTTTTCAGCGGACACAACATCTTTGTTTGTATGTGGTGCTAAGGATCTAACCCGGGCCGCACGCATGCCAGGCAAGCGCACTACCGCTTGAGCCACATCCCCAGCCCCAACTGATACTTTTTTTAAATCAAATAATTAATTTTGAAAAAACTAGTGCCAATTGAGCATTCCTTAACCAAAACTCTGAAATCTGAAACAACACAAATAAAAACAACTTTTTGAGTGTTGATATGATGCTACAAGTGGAAAATTCCACACCTTACTTTATGTGATGCATTGCATTCAAAACACAGCACACTGAAAATATTGCATAAAATTACCTTTATGCTATGTTTATAAGGTATGTATAAAACAGAAATGAATATTATATTTAGACTTGGATCCCATTCCCAAGATATCTAGTGAATGTGAAAATATTCCAAAGTAAAAAAAAAAAAATACAAAATCTAAAATACTATTGGTCTCAAGCACTTCAGATAAGAGATACTCAAAACTGTTACTACCTTTTATGTTGCTTGTGCAACATGAATGGACAAGTATTGACTCTACTCATAACTAAACATTGCTCTAGACATTACTTTTGAATTTATGCTTTTGGAAAAAAATGAGTAAAATGGATCTAATTTTCCCTTCTGCTTGAACCAACTATAAAGCTTAGCAAGATATATGAAACAACTGTTTTATAACATTGGACATCAGATAGACATTAATTCCAGGAACCCGGTCTTATGATTTCCTCAGACTCTTGTTTAGAGGGAGTCTTCAGGCTGTGATCTTGGAGAAGGACTATAGGTGGATCCAGCAGCCTTCCTGAGTTCAATCAGAAGAAAGCAACTATACTTCACAAGACTGAGAATCAGTGAAGAGTAAGTTACAGTAACATACATTTACCATCTTCAGTTGAGCAATAATCATCAATGTGAAGAAAATACCCAAGACCAGGGAAAGACCACATGAAAGATACAGTAGGAACAATTCTTACAGATCCATACAGAATAGGTATTATTTTGAGTTTGTACAAGTCAGAGTAAAAATATTATAATTCAGGACAATTTGTTAAAGTAATTTTAAAAAGATATTGCTTCAATCTAAAGGATGCTCTGCTCCTGCCTAATAGTGTGTAAAAGCAGTCTTGAAGATAATCAAACTATTCTCTAAGTAGTTAACTACAACTTAAAACAAAGTCCAAGAATATTTATAAGTACAAAAACGTTTTCAGAACACAGTAAAACAAACTTCACATTAGCTTGAATCCAAACAAACTACTAAACCTGCAAAAAATCTGGAACATATAACTCATACTAAGGTGAAACGTTAATTAATATTAACAGATCCAAGAATGGAATGATGGGATGAAGCAGAGAGGGAGATAAAACTATTTATTATAATAAGATTCTATACATTCAAAAAGGAAAGAACAAAAATAGTACATGTTCAAGAGACACAAAGGATATGAATATACCTGTATGAAATTTATAGAGATAAAAATAAATTAATGAGAGAAAATAGAGTTGATATGATTAATTTCAGATTATACACTGCCAACTATAGGTTTGTAAAACTGCAGGAATAAAACAGTAAAAAATACAGAAATAAGAAAAAATACTGAATTAAAAAAGAGCAGAGCTTAAGTGAGCTGTGGAAAACCTTTAAGTGGTCTAATGTATGTGGAGTAAAATTCAGGAAAAAGAGAGAGTAGAGGACAGGGAAAAGAAATATATAATTCAATAAATAATATATAATTTTTCCAAGTTTAATACAAAGTATGAACCATTAAAACTCAATAAATTACAAGCATGGGAAACATACATAAAACTACCCCAATGCATGTGAAAACCTAGATGCTTAAAGATAGTGATAAAAATGAAGTCTTGAAAAGAGCCAGAGAAGAAAGGAGACATGACATACAGAAGAAGAAAGATCAGAAAGACAGTAAACTTCCACTTGAAAAATTGCAGGGGGCGGGGAATTATTTCAAAGTAGTGAAAGAAATAAAAGAAATGTCAATCTATAAATTTATTCCTGGCCAAACTATATGTGAATAAGAGAGTTGAAATAAAGACAATCACTGAAAGGTATGAATTTAACAATAGCGAACCTAAAATAGACAAACTTTTAAGAGAAGTTTACCAGGTTGAAAAAAAAGTTACAAGATGAAGATATACAATTTGCACAAATTAATAAAAAAAATAGTTTATTCTGTGTAATCATAATGCATTTCTTTCCAAATCGCTTTAAAACATAAATAACTATTTAAAGCCAAACCATGACACTATGTTGTGTTTTATCACATTAAAAAAATTATACAATAGAACTGGTAGTGAAAAATAGGAGTGTTTTAGTCAGAAAGTAAAGTTTATTTGGGGCTCATGATTTCAGAGGTTTTGGTCCATAAACAAAACAACCAACTCCATTGCTCTGGGCCAGAGGAGACGCAGATCATGATGGAAGGATGTGGCATAGAACAGCTCAGGACTTCCCACCAGGATGCAGAGAAAGAGAGCACTCCTCACAAGGAACATAATATATATTCCAAAGGCATACTTCCAATGACTCACCTCTCCTGACATACCCTACCTACCGACAGTTACCTCCCTAGTTATCCATTCAAGTGAATTAATGCACTGATTGAGCTAACACTCTTATAATTCAATCGTTTTAACTGTAAAATTTCTTGCATTATTTCACACATGAATTTGGGAAGGAGGAATACCTCACATATTTACAGGTATATTTTAAAAATAAATAAATAAATAAATAACATAAGAAAGTAAGGGTGACTGGATCAAAATGATGTGGTTCTGAGGAAGGTAGATGAGTTCAGAGACCTAATAGGCGGCCAGCACATTTCCCTGCCCAAAGTGCAATGGGAAACCACCAGAGAGTGGAGAAACAGTGAGGTGATCTCGAGGCAGCACCCACCGCTGATGGGATGAACTGAGTTTAAAAGAGCTGGCTATAACATTAAGCTAAGAAAATGACAAGAAAGCGCAGGACACATAGGTAATTTTCATATTGAGGGCAGAACTGCTCTGCTACCTTTTAGCTTCCACACTGGAAAGAGTGCTGGAAAAAAGAGTGTGCACCCGGAATCTCTTTATTTTTATAGGGAGACCAACAAAGGAATTTCAATAGAATGTACTTCACCAAATAAGTCAGGGGATAAGGTGGAGTTTTGCTTCCTGATGTCTTGTGGTCAGCAGATTGATTGACATCTTGGCACGTCACACTCATCTCAGGTGCTGTGTGATCACAGGCAGAGTGACAAGAGAGGCACATTTGTATCATGCAGCCCAATCAGCATGCAATGCCAGACCTATCCCCTCATATGGCTAGGATGCACATAGTTCACACACACACACATTACATAGTTGGCTCATGGCAGTGATCTGAACTCATTTTCATAGCATCACAGAGAGACAATGCTTATAACCAGACATGCCTTACAACAAGGGTCAGGCCAGCTGAAAGACAAAAATTCTAATCTCTGAGTATTTAGAGAGTTTATAGGAGAAAAGGCACAGTCAAAAAAAGGACTTTTTAAATTAAAAAATTAAACAAAATGGTGAAAGCAATCACAATTTTTTTTTGATTTGGCCAAATAAAAATAATGTACTTCTGTATATTAAAGACTCAACAATAACATAATTGCAAAAATAAAACATGGTAAAATACATTAAATGGATGAAAATAAAAATGTCTAACAAAATATGAAATAATAATTTTGATATGTAAATTCAAAATATATATGAGTTCAAATTAGGGAGCAAGAAGCTGCAAATTACAACAATGAGATACAGATTTAAACCAATTCTCAACACTAAGTGTAAGTACCCTTCAATACAGAAAGAAGACCTTCTATGCTACTAGTGAAAGTGTAAATTAAAAATTTTGGAAGAGTGCTCAGCTATTGTGAATCAGAAGTTTAAAAAAATTAAAAGCACAACTGGATCCTTCAGTTCATAAGCGTGATGATTGGGTGTTCAAGCTATTGTGTGAGACCTGTCTCTCTCTAAACCTTGTTATGACATAGGCACATTACCCATCTGACCTGAACTTTGAAAAAAAGAAAAAGAAAAAAAAAAGAAGCGTAACTCAACAGTTGCATTTTTAGGAATATTTCAAACGAAAAGTAAGGCATATGAATAAAACTTGCAAATAAATAATCACATAGCAGTCAAAAAGCAGAAACAATTTAAGTGCCCTAAACAAATGATGAGGGGGTGAGTCTATTTGATATAACAATTTTAAATCAGTAAATCCATCATAAATCAATAAACGGCTGGTGATATTTAATCTGCCATTTGTATTACATACATAAGATAAACATGCTGAACAAAGGATAATACATGTATTATGTACACATTAATTTGGTCCGAAAGTTCACATTTATAAATTAAGGCTCTGTTGTCATTCTTTTGAGAAGATCAGTAAAAAATAAAATATTGGAAATGGAATTACACTTTTGAAAATGAAATTCTAACACATTTAATAAATTAAAAACACATTACCAACAAATTCTAAGCAAAAACATTTCAGTTCAAGGTCTATGTAGTAATACTGACAATGTAATTACAGTTGGAACCTAATGGTTTTGCTGTTTGACGTGTATATTTTTAAAATAAATATACATATATATAAAATCTTGAATATATGTTTTTCAACTAATAATATCATATTTGGATACCATATCCTCCAATATTTTTTGAAATAAATATAAAGATCTACTTTAAGAGTTTTTAATCTTCTGAAAGTTTTAACCATTTACTATTAAACCAAACTCTATAAGTGGTTTAGTGAGAAGACTCAATTTATTTGGGTAAATATATAGGAAATGATATCAAAAATAGGTGCAGTGTCACTCTTTTCCTAAATACCTTTGCTTCTATGGGAAACTCCCTTACCCTAAATGACAAGGAGTATGGACATGAAAGCTGTCCACTGGCAACCAGCATAGCTGACAGAGTGGAGGGTGGGAAAATATTCAAGCATTGACAGTTACTTTTTAAAATATAGTTATGGTGCCCTTCACCTTTCACTTTGGGATGGAAAAGCTTCCTACTGTTTACATTCTCCTAAGTAAGTAAAGCAATCCTTTCATCCTGTCCTTCACAGGCATTCTTACTTTCAATTACTTCTTTACCTGAGGTGGTATATAATTCACCATCCTTTTCAAAAGAGTTTGCTCTTCTTTTTCCTTCCCTGTTATCTAAGGATAGTGAGCAATTTATATGATGCCTGCACTGGTGAAAGTGAATGCTCAGCTCAATGATACCTGGAACTGCTGCAGTCCGGCTGCAGCAAATTAACCAGGGGTGAACAACTTGTATAAGTTGATACAGCAGGAGTGGGAGCCGTTTATTGTAGGATGGGAGGGGTATTTATACATTCCACAGAGCTTATCTAATTAACATAAACTAGATACAGCAGTCAACCAATAAGGAATCTCCACACTTAATGGCTGGCTGGCGTTACTTCACAAACCACTCCCTCTGGCAAAATGCCAGGCGCCATACAGACTTGTTTACAGACCTTAACATGGAAGGACATGAACTTAGACTTTTCCACACCTGACACTTTCCCACTCTCCGTCCTTTGCCAAGAAGTCATATATGACGACAGGAGCAATCTCTGGATCTTAATGAACTCATATATCTGGAACAGGAGTAAAAGTCTTTCCCATCTTCAAGAGGAGACAATGGTTCAAATGACTGCATATAAATACACATGACTCTGGTCTGAGGCGATTTTATAGATTTAATCAATTCCAAATACCCTCTGCAACTATGCAAGTCCCAAACACTACTGCGGAAGCCACTGTGACCTGGAATCAAACACAATTGATGGAAATAATGCTTAATGAGTCCACAGTGCCCCCCAAATGGGACTAATATGAGACAAATCTGGAGAGCCCTACAGGACATGATAAGAAGGTGATACTTTTTTCCTCATAGTGTGCTATTGGTTTTATGCACAGTCTGCAGGCTTTGGTGGTCTTCTCCCTACTGGAACTTTGGTGATGATACATACAGAACATCTATATGCAGCCTATATAATAGAATGACAGAATTTCAGGAGGAAACAATCACTGTACTCTGCCTGTAAGCACCCTCACACACTAAAGTTTATATTATACATGAAATGTATGGTGCACTCAACTGATATATGCTAGATCACTGGAATGACAGTATCTTACCTACCACACGTGGCACAGGCCATGTACATCTGTGACTTTTTTTTTTATTTTTGCAGATAGTGGTGAAAGTAGAATATTAATTGATAGCATTTTCTAAGTGCTGTTCTGAAGTGGCTGTGCATTAGTGGTTACCAAAATTATCAACAGAAGTTATTTAAAGAGCACCTGTTTGTGGCTGTGGCTTTCTTTGACAATCCCTTCATTTTGCAATTCACATGAATCTTATAGAAGTCTAATTTGCCTGGAGATGTTTCCTAGTCATGCCTCTTTCTGAAAGAAGACAGACCTCCTAAAATGCAGTACAGTTCCCTTAGGTCCTTTCATGCACATTTAAGAGGGAGAGAATCAGTATTCCCATAGCAACCTTCTTTATCCTCCCTTACTCCCATCATCTAACTGTCTAGAAAATCACAAGGCAAAGACTTTTTGATGCTTTACATATTTTTAACTTATGTATATTTATTTAACACCTACCATGGTATGGCACAATTCCAGGTATTATGAAATACAACACAGACAAGACACAAAACCCCCTGACTCCTTGAAATGTCTACACTTAACTAATAAGATACATAAATGAGTTTACAATGAAAAAATTACACCAAGAGTATGGTACAGAAGGGAGAGTCTTTGAAATTATAAATATGAAATCTGAAGTAAGCAAGGAATAACCAAAGAAAGAACCTGAGGTCTGGGGTTTTATATCAGTGATAGAGTGTTTGCCTCGAACGTAGGAGGTACTAGGTTTGATCCTCAGCATCACATAAAAATAAATAGATACAATGAAGGTATCATGTCCATGAACAACTAAAAAAAATGTTTAAAAAGACAGAAACAAAAAAATTGAAGAACAGATAAAATGGAGGGATAAGAAGGTCAGTGGTAAACAATAAATACAGGCAGGTAATATTAACTTCAACTAACTTTACCTAAGATAAGTAGGGGGATTTGTTTTAACCCCAAAGAAACTAGAAGGCCAAATCAGGTTTCTGAGAGAGTCACACATGGATGAACCACAGAAGCTCTATGACTTCCATGTTGAGAATAACAATAACTGGTTTTGGTAGGGAGAAAGGTTGTTGGGAATAAAAAAGTAAAACTATAATGAGAATATTCCAATAACCCAGGATAAATAAAATGAAAAAATGCTTCAAAAGAGTATTGGAGAAATAAGATGATATTCTGGGTATGTATTGAATGTTGAAGTAATATAATTTGTTGATGGACTGATGTCAAGAGTCACAGAAGTCACCCAGGCAACTAATTACCATTAATCATGAAAAAATAGCAGGAGAAGTTGTGGCTGATGTAGCTACAGGAGGTAATTTCAGGGCATGTGAACATTGCTTATACTTTGTGGAAGAAGACATTTTGAGATCAGAACATTGCAGAGTGGAGATGGTACCAGCTCATCAGTGCCTAGCTAAAACCTAAATTTCCTCCAATGAAGGGATAAAGTCAGTTTCAACAAAGGTTCTCTTAAAAACCTAGTCATTTTTCTGAGATTTTCATAGTGCCACACATAAGGATGGAAACAATGATGGTATTTAATTAAGATGTTAATTTGATCCTTGTTACACTAAAAAGGGCTTAAATAACACCCCTGAAAATAACTAACACTTCTGCCATTTGGGACTTTTTTCAAATTACTCCCAAGTTCCATATGAAATATACTTCAGCCTTTCTAGCTAAACTTGGGAGAGTTTGCTTTTCATGACTCATCCACAATTTTACAATGTGACTTGATGTTTTGATTTATCAGTATAATTTCTAACCTAATAAAGTTTGTGTTCTTTTCTACTTTTGTATACCCTCTACCCTGTGGTATCCATACTTCAAAACAAAGCAGAGTTTCAAAACATGCCTTCACCTTTGAAATCATAATAATATAAACAGTTAAAACCAATTTTTCAATTTATCTTGCACTCAAACCTAATTGCCTTTGTAAGTATCATTCACTTTCATGATTGAGCAAAACTAATGGCCACAGAGGTCAGCAATGTTTCTTTGATGAATTTCATTTTACTATGATTCCTTTGGTCTCAGATAAGCTTCTTCTTTAGAAGACTTCTGGAATAGATTGGTAAGCTAATTTCTGGCCAGGGAAGCTTCCCTCACTTTGTATTAAACCTTATAATTTTTCTAAAAGACTAAGTATTCTACCAATATTACCTGCTTTGTTAAGGTTTATTGTTAGTACCATTATGAAAATATACATTTTTTATTCTGACTTACATCTGTGCTAAATTGTTCGTTAAACAATTTGACATACCCTATCAATGGGCCAAGCCTAACGAGTTGTTGAAAACTCAGGTTGTCAGGATGGTTATTCAGATATCTAATTGCTAGACATTTTTGTTTGTTCGACATTACTATAAATAAATAATAATTTAAACACCATCAAATAGCCATGAAATGGTTTATAAATGCAAATGGGAATGTGTTGACATAAATTTAACTCCTAGAAAGAACACATTAGTTGATCATCAGCATCATAAAATACATACTTTAGGTTTTCTTGGCTTCAGGATCATATTTCTAAGTAATTTTATAGTAGGGTCAAGTAATGATTTGCTGGTAAACAAAAATTTATATTTAAGTTTATTTGGGTTCACTGCCTAATTTCATTAGGGCTAAAAAAACTTAACTTTCCTAAAAGATTTTTTGAAATATTCAGTGTTTCAAATGCATTCTGAGATAGAGAAAATATATTGGATTCCTCATATATTTTTTCCTTGTAGACTTTCAATATTATATTCCTATTAATCTCCCATGTAATTGTCATCATTAAAAGTAAACCTTTTTGTAGTTATTATTTATATTATTTGAATTAACATTTAAATTGTATTTCGTGTT